GGCACCTCATGCCAGACTGCTGCTGCCGCGATCGGAGTAAAGTGAAAGGTCCCAGGGTTTCCGCTTTCCTTCAGCTTGCTACTACCGAATCTCACAGCTCGGTTTTATTATTGGAGACTACTGAGCTAGAGGTCATTCTCGAAGTAGCTACTCCATGCATGGTTGCAAGTGTCACCTGTGCCAGTGCGGCATTCGAGAGTTATCATCATCACGCAGCCGTGGTTTCTAGGAGTTGTTTCTTTGTTCTTCCTGCTTGATATCCTGTGGACCTGCATCCAAACAGAGCAATACCAGCATTCACGGCATCTAATGTTGTTGATGTCAGGCGTCTCCACACCTTTGGCATTGGAGCACGCGGACCCTACCCTAAACATCCGAAAATCCTCAGGCTCCTCGAGTTGAAACCCCTGCGAGCTGAGGAATCTTCCCAGCATGGCGATGGGTCTGAAGGTCGGGGCTTGGGAATCCTATGCTCTGGGGTTCAGGCTTTGGGATTAGGGTTAGGGTTGGGGCATGTTGGGGCTGTTGGGGTTTAGGAGTTTCGGGCTTGCGGTTTAGAGTTGGAGCATTTTTCGGACGGTGGTGGAACTGCAAAGGCGGAGAGCATGTTTAGTTTCGGCATATCCAGCCTTCAGCAGGTCTCTGAAGCACAGACAAAGCCGAGTTTGATTGAGGTTTTGCGCAAGGATCCTTGAAGCCACGCCGGATACTTTTCCGGTGCCAGAACCCAGGGATCATTGTAAGCACAGGCTTATAATCTTGCAGGATTCGAGCACGGTTTGCGGCAGGTTAAGGGTCCAGGTTGTTCTGTGCAGATGCATGGCTTGCATTATTTCTGATTTTAGGCAGGTCTTTCTTCTCTTGCACCAGCACCAGCATCATCATCCTCCTCCTCATCATCATCATGATATTGTTATCTGCCATGTTATTGCTCTAGTCTATAATTGCCATCATTTTGAAGCTCCCCCTCTATCGACATGACAAGCAACCAAGCAACACCACCGAAGGAATGAACCGTCCATTTGACTCGTCTTTTGCATGTTGTGGGAATGGTCGTTGTCTTCACAACAGTCATCGCCACGGCCATCTTCAATATGTTGTTTGTACTTCAGGGCCTCGTCATAGTCATATTCGTCATTCAGTACTGTGAACTATTGTCGGCCTATGCAGTGATCAAGCGTCGTGTCTTCACATCAGTAGCAGATGAGTTCCCAGAACCCTCAGAGACTAATTACCTCGCGCGTCTGGCAATCTGGAAGGCGTCAAGCGTTCTTCCGTAATCCACGTTTTCATACGACGGTGCTTTATTATTTTCACAGCTACTTCCCCCTAACCCTCCAGGTACCTAC